AAGGTTTACAATGCCTTTAAAATATTCTACATTTCTTTGATATTTGCCTTATGTTTATGTAATATTTGTTTTTATAAATTTTTAAATTTTATATCTTTTGTATAGCTCTACAAGAAAATGGCTTGTAATTTGGTTTCATTATAAAGTTTCAGGACTTGGCAGCCATAATTTTGATAGTATTGTTTAATACTGTATGCCTGCACGTCAACAACAAAACCTTTGGAGGGCCCACAAATCATGACATCGAAGACATTTCTGAGGCATCCGAACATCAAAGCCAGTGCCATGGCGATAGCTGTAAACCGTTTGAGATGTCCTGGGCCTATTTCGAGAAGAAGTGCAAATACCAGTTCTGCATGCTCTAAATGTATGAATTCGCACACTTTCTAAGCCCTCTGGGTCACTGAGTAGGGCATTTGGTGCCCCAGTCATAACTGGCAGCCTGGCATACCTGCAGTGCACCTTACAATATTAAAGCAAGGTTTTTACTCTGAAACAGAAAAAAACTCCTCAATTAAAGAAAAAAATCATGTGTACATAACACTGTGGTAACAACACTGCCTGTTGCTGGTGTGGTATATGGCTCTACTCCACCCAGAGAGATCAGATTCTGAGGCTGACCAGGCAACGGTGCCCGTGGCACCGTCCATACGGCTGGCCCGTCCCTCACCACACCATCCTGTCACCAGTGCTCCACATGCCGTCTCCCACTGACTGTGAGCTCCCTGAGGATGACAAATTCTTTCTAACATGGTTTTGTTTTGTTTTTTTTGAGGTGGGGAGGGGGCAGGTCAACACCTTCTAGATTTTATTTGGAAACAAATACAGAAATTTCTCCTATGGTGCATATTTTCATAACTTGAGTTGGGCATAATAAAATAATATTACAACAATAAATATTATCTATTACAATATATAATAAATAATCAACTCTAATATTTATTGGGCATTTACCTTGTGCAAGACTTGTGCTAATCACTATCAATGTAACCTTATTTAGTATGATATTTTATTTAATGAATCACCTATAAAGCAGAAAATAAGGATTAATACAGAACATAATTATCAGGAAGCTGGATGAAAACTAGATATAAAAATAATGCTGGATTTGCTCAGTGATTTGAGTTTTATAGCAAAAATTTTAAAGCTACTGTGGGGGAAAAGTTCTTGCAGGCAAGTAAACAACATCAATTCTTTATCTCCAAGTTGTTTAAGTCCCACTGGAAAAAAAGGTAAATAGTACTTTTAATAATGTGGCACGTATCAGGGATGTGACTATCCCATCACAGCAGGCCTAACTTTGTACTGTTTTAAACCCTGCCTTCCTCTTGCCCCCGCTGATGAACCCCGAGCTCTGCGCCAGGAGGGCCCTACCTGCGCCCTGCATTCGAACCCAGCAGAGGGCTTGTCAGAGGAGCTCTCAGAATGAATGGGGCATTGATAAAGTAGAAAAAAATCCCATTAAGTCCAAAGCGTTTCAATAGTTTATTGCCAAAACTGCAAACTGAGGGCCTGAGGTGTGAGCTAATATTTAAGCATCCCTAAAGGAACCCCACTAGCCACCACGGCAGGCATGGATGTGGCGGTGCTCACCATGCACAGCCTCAAAGGCCCTCAGCTTGCCTTCCCTACATGGGGATTCTGTGTGACCCCCTATCAGGTGTATAACATCTCCCTTATAACTGCAATTTTAAAAGCTTCCGTCTCCTGTAACCAAGCTGCACCCAAATGGACCCCTGTATCAGAAAAAGGTGGACTAAATCTTCCTCAAAGCTCTTCCGAGTTTGCTGCCTAAGAGGGAGTGCTGCGGTCAGCAGCTGTGATTATCTGAGAGGGGCAATTTCTAAGGAGAAACCAAGTTCCCTTGAGTAATCTCAGGGCCTTCGAGGAGGGTAAAAGCATCTCTTACAGCCAAAGCACTACCACTTCCTAGGTGTGAAGCTAATGAACTCGCTACAAATCAAAATACAGTATTCTGGGAAGCTCAGTCTAGCAGGTAGTAGCTGAAAAAACAACTACATAATGAAAGCTTCTCTGAAAAGCTAGCTCTTAAAAGTCCTTCACAGTATATAAAACCTGGGTTTTTGTAAGTATTAGAGTTCGCCAAACAACAAAGTCTGGGGGCCGGGTCCCCAAGACTGTCCTCACTTCTGACATCATCTGCAAGTTCCAGGGGTTCCCCAAACCACCCTAAACTTTGATAATTTGCTAAAGATTCACAGATCTCACAGAAAGCTATTAAACTCACAGTTACGACTTCTGGAAAATGATACAGAGAATCCACCAAGGGAAGAGACGCAGAGGACAGAGTCGGGGGGGTTCCAAGTGCAGTCTCCACTGTCCCCAGGAGGAGCTATCCTACTGGTATCAACATGTGACAATACACAGAGTAGCATCAGCCAGAGAAGCTCACCTACCCTTCAATGTCCAGTTTCATCTGGGCTCTTTAGACAGTCCTGCTAAACTGGTTGCCCACATGGTTGAGTTCAGGCTCCAGCACCAATTCCCCAGAGGCTGGGCCGACAGCACATGGCGCAAGGGGCCCCTCATGACTAATAAGACACTTTTATCACTTGGGAAATTCCAAAGTTTTACAGGTTACCTCCCGGGAGCTGGGTACAAAGACCTCTCCTTGGGAAAGGCTAAATTTTTTACTATACCAGATGAGAGTAGGATATAATAAAGAATAATATGCTAGAAAGATAAAAGAGATAACGCTGCCGAGGCTCTGCTTAAGATGAAGTCTAACCTACAGGTCCATGCTGCCTTGGAGACGGAAAGTCACCATGGCATTATTTGTGTGCTCCGTGTAGCCTCGCATTTTCCAGTAGGCTAGCCCGGACTAAATGATATGGCAGCTGGGCAGGGCTTCAGAAGAGAGATTCTTTTCACCTACGACCATTCTTACCTCTCTCTGTAAAATCCAGCTTCCACCAATTTTCAAATCTGCTAAACTCTCCTATGTTATGGGCTGAGGGGGGAGGGGGGTGTGTGTGTGTGTGTGTGTGTGTGTGTGTGTGTGTGTACTCATATGAAGGCTATTAAGTTAAAATGAAGTCAACAGAATGGGCCCTAATCAAATGTGATTTCTAAGAGAGGGAGATTAGGAGACAGATGCAAAGAGGGAAGATCATGTGAAGAGAGGGAGAAAACAGCCATCTATAGCCAAAGGAGAGAAGCCTCAGAAACCAACCCTGCTGACCTTGATCTGGAAATCCTGCCCTCCAGAACTGTGAGAAAATAAGCTTCAGTTGTTCAAGCCACTCGGGCTGTGGTACTTCATTATGGCAGCCCCAGCAAACTCACCAACCACTCACTCATTTATGTCTACTCTTCCCATGACTTTTCTGCATCGGTCTCTTTTTTTCCCTCTTTCACTGCAGAGACCTCCTACCTAGTACTTCCAGCTCCTGTTTCTCACGCCTCCAATCAAACCTCACATTCACTAATATTCCCAAAAGAGCACAGAAATCTAGGTACTCACCTGGTCGGTCAAATGCCTTCCAAAGACTTGCTGCAAAATGAAGGCCAACTTCTCAGCCCAACACCTAATGAGTGACCCTACTGACCTTTCCAACTTTACCTTGCACTGACCTTAACTAATTTGCCATCCACCAACTACAGAGCATGGTTTTCCTTCTGAATGCCTTTCCTTTCCACCAAAACTCTTCTTCAAGCCTCAACTAAAGTATCTTCTTTACGATGACTTCATAGTTCTAGTCAGAACTGACTTCCTCTGATGTGACTCCAATTTGAGTTAATGTACAGCTATTGTCTTAAATGAAGAAACATCCAGGGTGCCAAGTCCAAGGGTCTCATAGTATTGAGATAAAAAGGTCAAAAAAATAAAAATAAATGTTGCTTTGTCATTGGGGGAAAGATAAAACCATAAAAATACATGTACAGTGTCCCTTCTAAAATCAAGTCTCTATGCAATTCTATATCTAAATTCTTAAGACAGCACATTAACCCTGTAAGAATGAGATCTCTGCCCCATCTTTAGAGGGTCTCTTCCTCCTGCCCCTAAAGGGTAATTCACTAACAAGAATGGAGGCTTTTGTCTGTTTAAATATACCTCAAACCATCTTTAAAAAACAATTTTAATCAATATTAAAATAACACTAATATCCATTACCACACAAATTGCACTATAGCAGAAAGTAACAACGTTCTACCTTAGGGTTTATAAGCACGTTATCAAATGCTTTGATATATAAAATGCATTTGATAACATGCTTATAAACATGCTCAAGGAAGGAGGTCAGAGCCCAATACAATGTTTCAGCTAAACCTGTCACAACACCTCTTTTTTGCTTTGCTAATTTGCACATGTGCTGCCAACAGAGGTTATACAATAGAACTATTTATACACTCAGGAAAATTCTGAATGATGTCTTCTTACCTAATGTGAGAACTGGCAGCAGAGGAAAAGAACAGGGCTATGGGTCATGGGCACTTTGATCCATCAATTACAGACATTCATTTAAACATTCCAAGGATCAATAGAGGTAGCAATTTAACATCACCTTCATAATACAGGGTAAGATAAAGTCTGTGATTTAAATGCTTTCAAGGTACAGGTGAAGAAATGAAAACAGCTTAAACATGAGAAAAGGGGATACTCCATTCCGACATGCCCATGATTTTATTATACAAAAGCAAATGGTTTCTATGTTTCTATTAATAGAGGTGGCAATTTAATATCACCTTCATAAACAAGGTTATCTTATCTTATATATTATTCCAAATGAAAATTCTATTACTATTGCTTTCTATTTCCCCTTAGTTCATAAAATTGAGTCGTAACAAGCTTTCATCAAATGGCTTTTCCTTGCATGTGAATTTTACCAGAGCAGATAACACAGATCCGCCTCAACCACCGAAACATATTTCCAAGTACTCCAGAGGGCTACATACCAAACAATCTCCTGTTCAAAAAGCAATAAAGCTGTCGCTTCATCCTGTCAAGAAGAGTAATTAGAATACTATTAAAAACTTACTTGAACTTGGCTTCCACCTCCTCGGCAGCTTTCTGATATTGCTCAGTGGTGACTTTGTAGAACTCTGAGCTCTGTGGATAAAGAGTGATAGTAGGGTTTTCATTTTCCAAGCGGACAAAACATGGGCAAGACGTGCGACGACAAAAACCTCATATGCTCTTGAGAAAGATTTCTTGCACAAGTGGAATGGATTCTTGTACAAATCCATGCACAAGTGTCCAGCGGTTGGTATATAGGCTGAAATTACAGAGTAAATGCCCACAGTTATAACACGTCATCATCTGATCCTTCTGATAAGATTCCTAACATAGTTTTGAAGGATTATTTAGACTTCCCGTCTGTGGAACTGATCACTGTAAGATGTCTGAGACTGAAGAGGGAATTGCACACTCATCACACTTGCCTATCAGTCCAGCGTCCCACCTAGGGTATTAAAGGGTCATTTCCTTTTACGCTGTATCTTTGTCTTCACGATGGATTCTTTATGGAGTAGAATGTGTTCAGTCACCTCCATGTGACCACAAGAGCACCAAAATTTATAATAAATTAATCGGTAAAACAAAGGGGTGGATTGACATAATTTTTACACCAAAAAATGTTTCTACTATTACATGAAAGAACACGCAGGCAGCATGAATCGAGTCATACTAGCAAGGTAATGCCTTTCCTGAGGAAACAAAATTAAAAATTACCCATTCTGGCTGACTACTTTGATGCCTGTCTGCAGGGGGGGGCTCAGTGACCCCTGAGCCTTCAGACTCCATGAAATATCCTGCAAAAGGCATCATCACAGTACAAAAGAGCACAATACAGTGGTCCACTGTGCACCTTCATTCGCTAATCACTCGGGGTTCACATGCATGACTAGGGGTAGTTTATTTTTTCATAAATCATTGTTGGTTGGTGAGAAAATGAAAATGAAATCCTCTTCACACCAGTGACCCCTTTGCATTTAACAATCTGGGTTGTCCAATGACAGTCACATCCAGGTTTGCTGGATGTAGATAAAATCAATAGGCATGTGATTAGGCAGCCGAGCGAGGGTGGCTGGAGAATGGACAGGTCACCATTTGAGATGATGAATGGCTCTCTATCAACCTCCAGTCCCCTCCGATGCTAACATTTACTATAATCTTATTTGGGCAGCGATTTATCTTTCTTGCACCTGATCAATAAAGATGAACAGAACAGTTGTAAGGATCGATTGTAATTTTTTATCATTTTCAAGCACAAAGGTGCATTTCTGACATGAAGACAATATTCTAAGTGTACTGCTTCTGCATTTTTTAAAATTGCAATTTGACTGATCAGCTGCACTAGTCTGTATACCGAGAGGTTTTAATTCATTTGTAGGTCTCGGCTATCAAAAAGCCATTTGTCTTCTCAGATATTTTAACTTCAGGCTGTGTCACACCTTCCTATCAGTTCCACTTACGAGATTTTTCTGTCCTTTAAAATACACACCAGTCACGAAAGCTCTTTTGCCGTGTTTGGTTTAAGCCTTTCTTTGAACCCTTCTAACAAAGAGGGCAGTGAAAAGGCACTTACTAATCACCACCAACGCTGATGAGAACCTCCCCACATTACTATGATGAACTGTCAAGTGAGTGTTATGTTACTGAATCATCTATTAACGTGCTGGCAAAGCAATAACATCTTGATTAACACCTGCAATTATTTTAAGCACTGAAACTGTAATGTCCAGACAGAGCCAGCCTAGGCTGAAAGATGTGCTTTCTGGGTCCGTTCTGTGACCTTTAGCAGGTCCTCCAGCCTCCCCACTTCCTTCCCAGTGTCCCTAACCTGCAAAATATGGGTGACACCAGACCTGCTTATCTCTGCCACAGCCGGTGTAGGAATCAAATCTGAACAGGCCAGAAAGCTGTGAAACCTGTTAAGTGCTTTTGCAGAGTAAGATCAACATCGAAATAAAATAATTTCAAAGAGAAAGAACTAATCTGGGCAATTCCATTCTAGGTACAAATCTGAAATGATCAAAACCGAATATTAAGCTTTCTAACAAGAATGATGAATGAACAAAGGCAAGAGTCCTCCCATCTATAGAATGGGGAGCGCCCCCCCCCACCCCCCCGCTTTGTAATG